CCGAGGGAGCCCGAAGGCCAGGGCAGCCCCAGGGCACACGCTACAGGCGGGCATAGCCGCTTGCTGCAGCGTTTGGGTAAAGGGGAAAAAACAGAGCAAACCACCTAAAAAACGGTATCCATGTCCTGCTCCTTCCCTGGAGGTGCATCCCGAGCTCTCGAGCGCTGCCGGGTGACAAAAGGCGATCACGAAAAGTCCAAGGCACTTTGCGGACAGCGGTAAACAACACATCCCAGACAGCAAAGCTGCCTGAAGCAAAGTCGGAGCTGCGGCCCGAAGCCCTGCTCGAGGAGCTGCGGCACAAGGTCCCCCCGGCGAGACCCCGGGTGTCAGCTGGCGGGCTGGGAATTTTAGGAAGTTACGAACGTCAGCATTTGGCATTTCGGTACCAGCAAGAGGCTCCCGTGGCTGCAGTGATACACGCGGGGGCTGTTCTTCACGGTCCCTAATTGCTGCATCTCTATTTTTACAAGTAAACCCCAATTTAATGAGAATATCGTCTCGGTCCACGCCTTCCCCGCACAGACACGTCTGCCGGGATTTCTCCCTGCTCCGGCGGGGGGCTCAGAGGGACCCCAGCAGCCGGGGGGGGTCGGGGGAAGAGCTCACAAAAGCCCCGGTCAGCAGAATGTCCCTGCTGCTGCCAGCGAGCGCTTACGAACCAAGGGCTTCCATGGGCTCAAGGGTAAGCGTACGCACAGCGAACCAGCAGGGCAAGAAGCACGCTCGCCCCGTTAGTCACAATTAATTAGTCACTCCATTCCAAGAAGGAAATGGGAATGACACTTAGGGCCATGTATACGCGGCGTCGCTTTCCCAAAGATCTCGGAATGTCGTCTTGGCCACTAAGCACAATTTATAAATGGTCTCTTTTGGAAATCCCCCTCCCTGCAGAGAAGGTCCTTTCCAATCTGGGAAGCGTCCCGCTGCGGGCGGGTAGTTTGCATCCCGGTCCCTGCCCTGGGAAGACGGTCAGATCTGGCCCTTCCGCCCGGGCAAACCTCCCTCCGGCAGGGAGCCGTCTGCAGAGAGACCCACGCCTTTTTCTTTTATTTAAGGCAAATATTCCAGCTGCTGGTATGCAGTCACGGCAGAGAATCGCCTGCTTTACAAGCTGCAATCTTCCCTTCACAGCTCCACAAGCTGTAACTGCATTCCGCAGCGCATCCCTGTGCACAGATTCGGGCACCGGCGGGGGCACACGACCGCTCTGGCG